TCGCATTATTGACTGTCCACTTGCATAAAAGCTAAACATAGCTACTTTATCCATTCTTCCAGTTTTTCCTTTCTTCAGATAATTATAATTTTCTGCTTCAGCTGAGAAAGTCATTTCTGATGCTGCTCAAGTGCGTAATCAGTTTGCCCTTCTGGAGGGCAGAGGGAATGACGCAGCACTTGGAGTGGACCCGTGAAAAGCATCCTGCTGTGGTTGTTGTTTTAGGTGCAAAATTACCAGTATCGGGGGTGCAACTGAGAAAGCGCTGCTACAGTGAAGCCTCCAGAGCTGTAATCTATGTTTATTTTGCTTTAGGACTGTGCTATACAGATGCTGTCCCAGAGAGGTCAGTAAGACAACGTGATGTTTGTCTGCATCTTCTGGACTACGCTTTTAGTTTATCTAGAGTACACCCATGAGAGCCAACATGCCATAATGGTTTGAGCATTGAACTAGGACTGGAGACTACTCAGCCATGGAAATCCACTGGGTGACCTTGGGCAAATCAAACTCTCTTAGCTTCAGAAGAAGGCAAGGGCAAACGCTTTCTGAACAGACTTCCCGCTGTTGCTTTTTAAAACATTATTGAGGATTTCACCAGTAAGACAGGTGACTTCTCACATTCTTGTAGAAAGTCGCATTATTGACTGTCCACTTGCATAAAATTATAACAGTAAATAAAGAACAAAACCCAAACACAGGAAAACTCCAGATAAGAAACAGCTAATCAACTCTCAACAAAGGATTCCAGGCAGTAACAAGCCACACCTAAAAACTGTCAGGCCATCAAATGCTAATCAAGGGGCCAATTGAAACGTTCACACCTAGCTTCAACAAACAAGAGTTCTTTCTCCCACCCTGGACTTTCCACAGATATATAAACACAATTTTCCTAGTTTCCAACAGACCTTACAACCCCTGATACCTGCCATAGATGCAGGCAAAACGTCAGGAGAGAATGCTTCTAGAACATGGCCATGCAGCCTGAAAAACCTACAAGAACCCAAACCTTGGTTTGTTCCATTGGTTTCAATTGGTCTCTTCTATTTGAGACTGACATTGGATTTTGGTCTCACTTCTGAAATCCAGAAATCAATGGCAAGCCCTCACAGAGCTCAGGACTTCTCTCCTTTTTTAAAATGATAATAGATACAGAAGTTTCATGGTTGGGAAACATCCCACCCTTTAGTTTGGCCGTGAGTGCCTTTGCAAAGCTCACGCACTCACGCACTGGGCTCAATGAAGTGTAGAAAGTGTCTTATGTACCATTCGGCCTGGATCCTATTGGTGAATCCTGACTACAGTAAACCCACTGAATTAATTGCTGAATGGTGAGTGAACAAATGGGTAGATTCTATTGCTTTAGTAGGCCTACTATAATTGCAACTAATAATAGGATTTCAGTCTAATGATAGGGCTGGTTCTATTTGTCTCCCATGTTGTTTAACATCTACATGAAGCCGCTGGGGGAGATCATCCGGAGTTTCGGGGTACGGTGTCATCTGTACGCGGATGATGTCCAACTCTGTCACTCCTTTCCACCTGCTACTAAGGAGGCTGTCCAGGTCCTGAACCGGTGCTTGGCCGCTGTGACGGTCTGGATGAGGGCGAACAAATTGAAATTGAATCCAGACAAGACAGAGGTCCTCCTGGTCAGTCGCAAGGCCGAACAGGGCATAGGGTTACAGCCTGTGTTGGATGGGGCCGCACTCCCCCTGAAGACGCAGGTTCGCAGCTTGGGTGTGACCCTGGACTCATAGCTGAGCCTGGAACCCCAGGTTTCGGCGGTGACCAGGGGAGCATTTGCACAGCTAAAGCTTGTGCGCCAGCTGCGCCCGTACCTTGGGAAGTCTGACTTGGCCACGGTAGTCCACGCTCTGGTTACATCCCGTTTAGACTACTGCAACGCTCTCTATGTGGGGTTGCCTTTGAAGACAGCTCGGAAGCTCCACTAGTCCAACGCTCGGCAGCCATGATTTTAACAGGAGCGGAGCGCAGGGAGCATACAACCCCCCTGTTGCGCCAACTCCACTGGCTACCGATCTGCTACCGGGCTGAATTCAAAGTGCTGCCGTTGGCCTTTAAAGCCCTAAACGGTTCCGGCCCAAGCTACCTATCTGACCGCATCTCTGCCTATGAACCCACCAGGACTTTGAGATCTTCCGGGGAGACCCTGCTCTCGATCCCGCCTGCTTCTCAAGCTCGGCTGGCGGGGACGAGAGATAGGGCCTTCTCGGTGGTGGCTCCTCGGCTGTGGAACGCCCTTCCTACGGACATTAGACTAGCACCATCTCTAATGGTATTCCGCAAAAAGGTGAAGACCTGGATGTTTGTGCAGGCGTTTGAGTAATTTAGTGCAATCTGGTAATGGAACATATGGAATGGAACAATGGACGACGAACCTGGACTACGCTTGGATGATGAGAAGATTGGGTACGGTTGTTTTTCAATAATTGTGCATTGTAATTGCTTATTGGTAATTTATGGATAATGTGTTAAGTCAATTGTTATATGTTGTATGGAACCACTGCTGTTTCTATTGTTTTTACTGTTTGTGAACCGCTGTGAGTCGCCTTCGGGCTTGAGATACAGCGGTATATAAGCAAAGTAAATAATAATAATAATAATATTTCAGGAAAGACTACCTGTGAACTGGTTAGAACGGATAGCAAGTCTCATGTTGAGGTTTTAATTATTTACTTACTTTATATGCCACCTCTCTCCCATCTCATGAACATAGTCAGTGTTATACCACACTCTCCCTTCAGGACCCATCCCTTTTCTGATGAATCTCCAATCGCAAGGTTCAGATTCAATAACCTCTAGTTGCATTTGCTTCCCATGTAACCCTGGCTATCCTTAACTGAACTTTCCACTTTTAACTTTATATTTTTCTCTTTCTCAAGAGCAGAGGGCATTCTTGTAGAGCAAGAGTGAGCAATGTCAGGCCTATGAGATGTTTGTAGCCCCAAAAAATGACCTCAACGGAAAGCATGGTTGGACTCACCCTGGCTCCCTCCTGGGATCAAAACAAATTTTTGCATTCTTTCCTCAAAATGTTCAAAAATGCCCTGTAGGTGGGACAATAAAGGCCAAAGATGTGGTGGGAATTCCCTTATCACCTCTGTAGGTCATTTGAGGGATAGTAACTCCTCCACCCAAGAGCAGATGCAGTAAGGGGATATGCCCCCCACCTCACCCCAAGGTGTCCTGGGATGTTAATGTGGCCTTCCACTGTTGGCTATCTTGTTGTAGATAGTAGTTAAAAGAGTGAGATAGGAGTCAAGAAACCCCTTATTTGAACTTGATCTCTGCTGTGAACTCACCAGGTGTCCATAGCTATCTCTGCCTCAGTCCCATGATAATCTGCACATTCTAGGGCTGCTGAACTGTTTAGAGCAGGGTAACACAAATCAGTTTTCCCTTCCTTAATCTGATGTAGAATCATAGAATCATATAGCTGGAAGAGATTGCTTGGGCCATCCAGGAAGAGCACAATCAAAGCATCCCTGACAGATGCCCATCCAGTCTCTGTTTAAAAGCCTCCAAGGAAGGAGCTTCAATCACACTCCAAGGCAGTGAGTTCCACTATTGAACAGCTCTTCAAGTTCTTGCTCAGCTGGAATGTTCAGGTGGGATCTCCTTTCCTGCAATTTGAACCCATGGCTCCATTGAGGCCTAGTTTAAAGGGCAGCAGTAAAGAAGCCTGCTCCAGATGCTTTATAATTCAGTTCCATTGTTCCTCACCATTAGGCTATTTTAGCAGGAACTGGTGGGCATTCTAGCGCAAGACATATGGCAGGTAGGGAGTTTAAAGAAGGTTAAACACTGTTATAATCAAAGGGCCTCATGCACTGATGGTCCTGGACCAATAATGGAAATAACTGAGATTTACCCAAGAGGAAAATGGGGCAGAAATCTTGGGATCAGAGCTATGCAATGTTCAGATGTTATATTCAGATGGAAGAGTATGGAGGAAAATGGGATCTGAAATACAAGATGTCTTTCTCCCACTCTGGACATTCCACAGATATATAAACCCCATTTTCCTAGTTTCCAACAGACCTCACAACCTCTGATGATGCCTGCCATAGATGTAGGCGAAGCGTCAGGAGAGAATGCTTCTGGAATGTGGCAATACAGCCCGGTAAACTTAAAACAACAAAGTGATTCTGATCATGAAAGCCTTATACAATACTCTGAGCAAGCTCTTGTACAGACTGGTGAGCCAATGACTTTGATCATAACCCAGGCTATTCAGCTGCCAGGCCAAAGGGCTACACAAAGCCATCCAACAAAACGAACAATATCTGAATCTGTGCCAGAAAACAGCCAATGCAGAAAAAGATAACAAAGTACGCTCACATGGTATCAACTTCCTACTGAAATGAAAATCTGCAAGAATTTCTACATATATTTAGTGTCTATACTAAGATCTTTAGAAGTTTATTTTCTTTGCCCACATAAAATGCCAAGAGCTACAACCCGATTCCCATTTGAAAGGGGCCACTGAAGCAATGAGAGTGTGATTTGCCCTGGCAGCTAAAAAAAACCCCAATGCGATTCTAGGCGGCATCAACAGGAGTATGGAATTGAAGAAAGTCATAGTCCCACTCTATTCTGCTTTGATCAAAGCTCACTTGGAATAACACTGTGTTCAGTTCTGGGCACCAAAATTCAAGAAGGACAATTACAAGCTGGAAGGTATCCAGAGAAGGGCAACCAAAATAGTTAAAGATCTGGAAATCATGAATATGTAAAACCATGTTCTCACTGGTGGTAGAGGTGAGGCTTTGAAGCTTCCCATTTAGGTCAGAACCTGTTCATAACTGGTTAGTTTACAACCATTGGCTCTGAGGCAGAAAGGAAACCTTCCAGCTTCTTAGAACCGTATTGGTGGAAAATAAAGTGACGTTTTTGACACCTGACAAACATTTGCTCTATTAAAGTATAGGAAACACGGGGTTGAAAGAAAAGTGTAAAAATATAGAAGAGTCACATTGGGAATGTTAGATGTTTATTGTTTTTGTAACTACATTAATGAAAAGCATTCAATTTGAGCGTCAACTCTGGAAAAAGATCATACAGAGAGCAAAACACAGCATAAAAGGCTAAATTATCCTTGTTACAACAAAGCTAAACATGGTTAAAACATTTCACTTTGGGGCAAAGATCATTTTTGGAAGTGACTTTACTACAGGTCAAAGGCAAAAGAAACCAAGGGGAATTTTGCAGCATCTGTGCCAACATTTTGATAGAAGAACATTGACACATGTATATCTCCAGAAAAAGCATGTCCTATTTTGTTATCTTGAGATAACTAGGTAGACCGTTGGTCCCTAGAAAAGTACAAAAGGTACTAAAAAACCAAATGATTGCAACTTTCCATAGAGGACATTTTGGTCAAGCTTTCATACCGGAGTAAGCCTTGTGTGCTTACCAACAGCATCTTTGGAAGAATTCCATATCAGAATTCTGTAAAACTGCCATGGTATGCCTAAGATCTGGAGTTGGTGATCACAAAGGGATGCCCCCTAATGTCACATTTCTCTGCATGGCAGTGTTCTGGGAAACTTCACTAGAGTTCACAACTCACTTTGTTGGGAAATTATCAAAAACTGGCTGGAGTCCATCGAAGTCCATCCCAAACTTTAGAGGCCACAGTTCTGTGTAACCTCCTGGTTTATTTCCTGTAACAAAATGCAGAATTAAAACTAACCTTTTACAGCCCAGGGACAAGGTAATGTTTTCCCCAGCATCTTTGTGGAAACAGGTAGCTCTCAATGTACCAGATGGGATTTAGTTGATGCACTTGAGCCATTTCAAGGCAGTAATTTGATCCAAGGCCTTCCATAATGCTTAATCTTATCAATCTGGCCGTTTAGTGACAGAAAGAACTTTCCATCTGGAGCACCTTTAGAAGGAGAATGACGCAAAATATCTGAGGTCAACTTTGAAAATCAAGACAGAAAGAACTTTCCATCTGGAGCACCTTTAGAAGGAAAGCGACGCAAAAGATCCAAAGTCAAATTTGAAAATCAACATCATTCTGTACAAGTCACCCAGCAATCACAAATTGTGTAGAAAGGATTGTAGCACAGAATTCCTGAAGGAATACCTCCTGTTCAAAAATGCTGCGGCCTGATGTCACAGGACCAGCCGGTCCTCTCCACCTTCCTGAATGACTTGGCCAATGCCTGCTTGGTCTTGTTGCTTTAGAAAACACTCCTTCTTGCACTCCATCAATGACTGGAAATCTCGCCACATTTTCACTTGCTTCAGATTTGGGCCATGACTCTCCCGGACACCTTTTTGCTTCTCTCGAAGTTTCTGTTATGCAAAAGAACAATCAACACCACTTTTGTAAACATGTCAAAGGACAATAGTCAATAGTTGATTGTAACGATTGATTTTCCATGTTGCCTCTACAATCTGGAGGATGTGCTTCAGAATCTATGAAAACGAAAAATCAAACTTTGCAAGGAATTGTGTATGCAAAAGCATAACACTTGCAGAACTAAATTTCTAAAAGAACCACTAAAGAGAAAGTTAAGGAAAATGACATTTCCCTTTTTAATTCTGAACTTTACAAAGGACGGCTAAAAATATACAGAACTCAGCAAGTAAACTTGGCTGTATCAAATGCACTGCAGTACCTTTCTGTAAAGATACTAAAGAAAACAACTGGGAAATGTATTATCTTCATCCAATTGCTTTATATACCCCTCCAAATGTGATCTGTCAGAATGTCGCCTGCATTACAGTATCTTATCCCTGGGGTTTCCGGGGAATGTGCAGTTTGTAAAAGATAGTCAAACACCTTCAGCATTATCTGTAGAAAGCTGACTTCGGAAATGTTTGTATAGTGTATTTTGAGAAAACAACTCCTCGTGCTTGAATAGAGCAACTCTTAGGGGATGGGCATCAGCTATTGACAGGAATGAAATATACTGTTTTCTCAAAAGAAGAATGGTTTAAAAATAGTAATTTATCATTACCTTCCCGAGATTCTCTTGTTCTGTGATCATTCGAGAATACTGTTCCCTAAGAGGATGAGAAATGCACTTAATAACATGAAAATAATACTTGACATTTAGAACCGTATTTTGAGTATTCAAAGAACTTCTCACAATGTATTGTTGAAGGCTTTCGTGGCTGAAATCACTGAGTTGTTGTAGGTTTTTTGGGCTGTATGGCCATGTTTTAGAAGCATTCTCTCTTGACGTTTCACCTGCATCTATAGCAGGAATCCTCAGAAGTTGTGAGGTCCTCACAACCTCTGAGGATGCCTACCATAGATGCAGGCGAAACGTCAGGAGAGAATGCTTCTGGAACATGGCCATACAGCCCAAAAAACCTACAACAACCCAACTTCCCACAATTTTGGCTTCCAAACTTGCCCAAGCCTTATACATCAAAATGCTCCCTATTGTCAAGCGTTTTATGTACTTTTCTCTCAAGTTATAATAATGTTTTTTTTCTATTATCTTGACAACTACTCTGCAAGGTGGAGAAGGAATGGGCCTTCTCAAGCCATGAGGGAAGATTTGGAGCAAAGGAAATTTGGGAGCTGAAGCACCTACCATGCAGACTAGCCTCTTAACATGAAGACTAGCCTCTTAGTTTCCTGGCTCTCGTTAAGCTTAGTTTCCTGGCTCTCGTTAAGCTTCCTTTTACATTCAAGTCTCACCACAATAAAAAAAAAAACCCTAACAGGGGCAGATGTATTAAGATACATGCTGACTGATGAACATGTACATAGATATGTATGTGGAAACATGCATTCTTTCTCCCCCTTCCTCTAGCAAGCATGGTCATATATACAGGTTGGAAACCTCCTGATTTTCATAGTTGTTTGTTACATATCTGTCCTGCCTTTCCTTTCACAAGTTTAAGGTGGAGCACATGATTCACCTTCTCTCCACGTTACCCAAAGACAATAATGTCAAATTTATTTATTTATTTATTTATTTACAACATTTCTACCCTGTCCTTCTCAACCCCCGAGAAGGGACTCAGGGTGGCTTACAACGGCAGCAATTCGATGCTGACAACATACAACACATTATGTATAACATTATACAAAAGATAAAACATTAGATACAAATAAATGTAAAACATTATTATTATTATTATTATTATTATTATTATTATTATTATTATTATGTAGCCTCTGACCCATATTATCAAGTATTATTATTTAGCCTGAAGAAGAGAAGGCTGAGAGGAGATATGATAGCCATGTATAAATATGTGAGAGGAAGCCACAGGGAGGAGGGAGCAAGCTTGTTTTCTGCTTCCTTGGAGACTAGGACGCGGAACAATGGCTTCAAACTACAAGAGAGGAGATTCCATCTGAACATGAGGAAGAACTTCCTGACTGTGAGAGCCGTTCAGCAGTGGAACTCTCTGCCCCGGAGTGTGGTGGAGGCTCCTTCTTTGGAAGCTTTTAAACAAAGGCTGGATGGCCATCTGTCAGGGGTGATTTGAATGCAATATTCCTGCTTCTTGGCAGGGGGTTGGACTGGATGGCCCATGAAGTCTCTTCCAACTCTTTGATTCTATGGGAGATAAGAGAGGCCAGGAGCATCCAATGGCTTCCCTGGCTGAACAGAGACTACAGCCAGGACTCTTCAAGTCCTAAATAGGAAAATCAATTACTAGTTATAGCTTGGAGAAGGCTTTTGGGGTGGCAACTTCCAGAATTCATGAAATATAACTTTTCCAAGCTTTGAAAATATGGCTTGCCTGATGCTTTGAAGATGTCGTGGGATAGAAAAAACAGGTATACATCAGAAATGAAGTAGATATGTTTCTGGGCATTAACACTTTAATGGAAAACTTGATACCAGAGGCAGAGATAACACAGAAAGAATAAGGCCTGATTCCTTTGCCTCAGAAATGAACAATTCAACATTTTTCTGCAAAGTTTTTTATTTGAAATTAGTAATACACACATGTGAAAGAAAACAGCCAGGCTAAGTAAGCTGTATTAAACAAAACAAAATTGAGCCCTATATGGACCCATTTAGACCAGTTAGGGCTTTCTTTCACCAGTTACCACTTTTCTGATGATTTCCATTTTGGTGGCAGACATATATAGACTGTAAACATATATACTTTTTATCACACTGGGGAAGCTGGTGAGGTAGGCTTTTCTGCTTTCTCTGTTTTGCTTTTCATGCCATGCTCATTAAGGGATTCTGGAAGCTGCTGCTTACCTTCCCTGTTGTATGAAGGCATGCAAGGCCACAGTAGGATTGACTCGAGCAGAATCTCATCCTTTTCTAGCTCAAATTGTATTATAGTGCTAAGTTCACTCATGCAGCTACAAGCCAACACTGAATGTCTGTTTCTTTAGCTCCCACCCCTTCCAGTGTTGAGACTGCTTAAAAAGCTCCAGTTAGACAGAAGACATGAGGGAAAGGGAGGACTGGGCAAACATAAAAAGCCCTTATAAAAAGGCCCTTCTTTCTCAAATGCTTTGGTAAGTGAGGTACATCTGTATTTTGAACAGAAGAAATACTGAAATCTATTCAGACCGTGAATCACATTTAGTCCTACTTGAAATCAAAGGGACAAATTTGCCATGATTAAAATACCAGCAAATCTCATTGTGTTCGCTAGGACTGATCTAGATGGAATATACACCACTTGAACCAATCAGAGATATTGCTTGTTGCTTTCCATGAGGTGATATTAGAGATAATTGTCTGCATGCCCATTGTTCCAGCCATTTATACATTCCTGACCCATAGACTGCATGCTTTAGAAAGCGATGGCACTTGGGTCTAGAGCACATCTATTTCCACAGTCCAGGGCACACATCTTTCTCATAACCTGCATGCAGCTGCTTGAATTTGTGCCAGGACAACATGACCTCAGTTGCCCCCAAGAAAACACAAAGTTGGACATCTTCCACAGTTCTTTAAGTTCTCCAAGTGTTCTTTAGCTCTAACATTGGCTTTTATTTATTAAAAAGAAAGGAAAAAACAGACAAGCATCAGAAAACTAGACCGTGAATGTCCGCTTTTTGGCTATTTATAATGATGCCTGGAAAGAATGCAACTTAATTTTGAAAGTTTAAACTATATTTAGAGAACGAAATTAACGTTTCACATTCCTCACTACTGACTCCATGGAACAGGGATGAGAATGCAGATCAAAATTAGGGCATTCTGGTTCATTAGCAAGCTGCAGTTCTGCTTATGGATTGTCTGAGCTTAGTTTACATTCCAGGACTCACAAAAGAGACATCCAGCCCCAAAAGGATTTGGAGAAAATGTGCCTTCTCTTTGCATTCTGCCTTTATTGAAGAGTTGCCTGTCAAAGCTTTTGCTCTGGCTTACTCCGGCAGAACGAGAGAGCTCTCCTCTTGGGTTCTCGGGAAGAAGTGAAAATCTACCATTCTCAAGCCCTACTCTCTGAGCCCAGAAATCTCCTCTGCTGCTCAGGGGGAAAAGCAATTGCACAAAGAATAGATGCAGCAGCTCTCCTTCATGACAAGATGCTATACATTTTATAGCTTCTGCTCCTCCCACAGTGAAAGGATGGACAAGTGAAATACTTCAGCAGGTAGAAATCATCAACATCTGGGACTTGTTAGGACTGGAGAGACAAACATTGACATCCAAACACCTGAACAAAAGAGCTGGCCAATGTGTCTTTCCTCTTCTGCTTTGCCCAATCTAGGCTCCCAGATACCTGGCTATCCACAGCAGCCCTATTACGTTTGGCATTTTAAAGATCTACGAGGAAAACCTGTAAAACAGCCCCTATTGAACAGCAAGAATAGTTCAGTGACAAAAAGTTTCTACAAACAGAGCAAATAAAACAAAATGCTCTCAAGCTCTGAGCTGAGAAACGCTGGGCAAATAAATCACACCGTTGGCACAGTCTCAGCAGATTCATTCACCAACTTTTACTGCAGCCATTCTCTGGTTTTGACTTAAGTGCTAGCATTCCTGCTATTCTCTTCTCAACATTCAGCTTCTTTCCTCCACTTACCCAGATAGCAAATCCATTGCAAATATTTAGAGAGATGTAATCTGCTCACTGTTCCTTCCATTCAGCTACTATAAATCGAAACTTGTGAGATAAACAAGCAACACAAACAGCATTTTGTACTTGGAACACTGCTGTCATTTTCCTTGTGGCCTTGTTCACAGATCTAGGGGAAACTACAAGAGCCATTCAGCCCAACCCCTGCCACAAGAATCCTGAAAAGAAGCCAAAGGGAATGTGGGAAACTAAAGCCTAGCACTCTGCAGGGGATAGAAAGGTGCCAAAAAGCATACCAGGGACAGTTAACATGGGCAATTTCTTCTTGTTCAAAGCCAGTGACTCATTCCTCATTTGGAGTTAATATACACTCCCAAGTTCACATACCTGGTTGCCTTTCTTTTCTCCTGCTGATCTGAAGAGACATATATTTTCATCTCCTCTTTTGCCCGCTGGAGATAGACATCTAGAATCTAAGAAGAAACACCTGGATGTAGACACCAGACTCTTGCTGAAGAGTCTCAGAGAATCCAACACATACAAATACACCTCTGCAGACTTACCTGTTTCATGGAGTTAATCTGACGATAGCGACTTTCTTCCTGCAGACACTCTTCCTGAAGGCTCTTCACCTCCTGCAGTGATAAGGAAACCTCTTTCACAAGCAAGGTCACACACAATGTAAAGGTAAAAGAACAATTTTCAATGATAGAATGCTTGTCATCAGGAGCCTGTTAGCTGCATACATGAAGGGTAAGAAATGTGTGTCCTACAGTAGTTGGACTGAGACTCCCACCATTCCTGACTGTAGGCTATGTTGGGAGTTAAGAGTCCAACACTATCTGGCAGGTCATCCACTTCCCACCCCAACACAGATAATACGGTATTTTTCTTTTCCTCTTTTCCTGAATAATTACTGATATATGGGCCCAACAACTGACACAAGTAATCAATGTTTACATCTGTTAAGATACCAGATGAGATGCTTGACAGTTTCCCCCAAGTCAACTGTGCTGGTAAAATAGAGCAAGGGAACCCAAGGACAACCCTGAATACCAAGGCCTGACCATCTACATCAAGGCATGCATCTTCCCCCCCCCCCCAAAAAAAAATGGGGGAGGGAGAGGTGCCATGTAGCTCTGTCCTGGCACTGTACCTGCTCCAGTGTGGAACGGTTGGTCTCCAGGCCTGCTGCACAGCTGTCGTATTGGGTTTTTTTCTCCCCACATTCTTGTGTTATTTCCTGGTGGGAAAAGAAGCAGAAGGACACATGAAGCCAGTCAATGTGTTGCCCCCCCTCCCCAATCAGATCATGTTCCTGCCCATTTTGCTGCCTAACCTCAGTCATTGGCACACAGAGGGGCTTACATAAACCCCAGGGACATCTGAGCCCACCTGTTTATGGGGAAGCCTCCAGCCTGGCATGCGGAGGGATCAAGAGCATAAACAGCAATGTAGCTGAACAATCCCTCCTTCCATCACTACTTTCCTCCAGCTTTCCTCTTGTCCCATATGCTGAACGATTTTAACAATGAATTTCCAAATTGCTCATACGATAGCATGGGTTTTGACGTCATTACTTTTTTATAACCCTTCTCAGAACCACCCGGCCAGAATGGTCCTTGCTAGATAGGGGATTACAACAGATCTGATCCAAAAGGTAACTTTTCCTTATTCATTAAAGCAGCACACTGTGCCCAAAATAAATGCTGGCTTTGACCCACTTTTAAAGCACCTAAAAGGGAGGTAACCATATTTTAGGGTTATAATACACCAGGAATTTTACCCACAGAAGCTCTATCACATTAAGCATGTTTTTCAAAAAGCTTTACTGGATTCAATCAAAAGTCTTTCTGGTTTAACTGCCTGTTGTTGTTGTTATTATTATTATTATTATTATTAAACTTTATTTGTACCCCGCTAGCATCTCCCGAAGGACTCGATGTGACTTACAAAGGCCAAGGCCTCAACACAACAACAGTAAACAATAATGATACAATACAATACAAAGCAAATTAAAAACATAAGCAATAACAAAACCATTACACCATTACGCAATAAAAACCAGGGCCGGGCCAGTGATGGGTACAGGTTAAAAAGTGCTGGGTGTGATGGCTAAAAGAGAAGCCTCCATAGACAGAACCATCACATCTCTGGTGATTAGGTCCTAAGGCAAGCAGTTGCTGTCATGCCCAAAAGTCTTTCTGGTTTAACTGCCTGTTGTCAACAGCCCCTTACCCAGACAAACAGGGCATGACAACAACTGCTTGCCTCAGGACCGAATCCCCAGAGATTTGATGGTTCTGTGTATGGAGACTTCTCTTTTAGCCATCACAGAAAAAGTTTGCATGAGTCTTTCAGATTCAACCATAATGAGAAAGAGGGCCTTCTTGGTGGTGGCTTCCTGGCTCTGGAATACCCTCCCTATTGAAATTACATTAGCCCCCTCTCTTCAGGCCTTCTGGGTCAGTCTAAAAACATGGCTCTTCAGACAAGCCTTTGATCCTGAGTAATCCATGGCCAATGTGATGAATCCTTGATAGTACTGGCCCGCACTTCGATTGATATGACAGATAGCTGGCCAGCAGAACCCACTGCATTTTAAGAGTTTTATAATTTTCAAATTTTTATAATTTTATTAATGAGATTTTTATGCACTGTTATTATACTTATGTCATTGTATTTATAGGGTTGTTGTAGGTTTTTTTTCGGGCTATATGACCATGGTCTAGAGGCATTTTCTCCTGACGTTTCGCCTGCATCTATGGCAAGCATGCTCAGAGGTAGTGAGGTCTGTTGGAACTAGGAAAAAGGGTTTATATATCTATGGAATGACCAAGGTGGGACAAAGGACTTTTGTCTGCTGGAGCTAGGTGTGAATGTTTCATTCTGTGATGGCTAAAAGAGAAGCCTCCATAGACAGAACCATCACATCTCTGGTGATTAGGTCCTAAGGCAAGCAGTTGCTGTCATGCCCTGTTTGTCTGGGTAAGGGGCTGTTGACAACAGGCAGTTAAACCAGAAAGACTTTTGATTGAATCCAGTAAACATTCACACCTAGCTCCAGCAGACAAGAGTCCTTTGTCTCATCCTGGTCATTCCACAGATATATAAACCGACTTTCGTAGTTCCAACGACCTCACTACCTCTGAGGATGCTTGCCATAGATGCAGGCGAAACGTCTGGAGAGAATGCCTCTAGAACATGGCCATATAGCACAAAAAAACCTACAATAACCCAGAGATTCCGGCCATGAAAGCCTTTGACAATACATTGTATTTATCCTTATGTATTGTTGTCTGCATGTGGTACTTGGAGTGCTTCTGTGAGCTGCCCCGAGTCCCTTTAGGGAGATGGTGGTGGGGTACAAATAAAGATGATGATGATGATTATTATTATTATTCTCTGATTGTTCCAGGGACCTTTTAGAGCTTTCTCTCTTCTCAACTCAGGTTTCACAACAGCTCCCTCTGTTCCAGTCCTACCCTGAATTTAATTTACTGATGTCATAGTCTACTTTAAAGTAAGCACATTAAATTCAATTATGAATTGATGCTTTTTATTTGGTACTAGTTGTTCCCCACCACGAGTTGCTGTGGCCCAGTCTGTGTATATATGTTTTGTGTGTGTATATATTTGTGTATATGTGTGTTTGCATATATATGTGGTTTCGAACATGCATTGTACTTTTTGTTTTTTGGCTTTTAAAGTTTCTTCTGCTGTGTTTTTCAGTATTTTTATGAGTGATGGTCACTTGTTGGCCTGATAGGTGTATTGTGTCCAAATTTGGTGTCAATTCATCCAATGGTTTTTGAGTTATGTTAATCCCACAAACAAACATTACATTTTTATTTATATAGATATATACTTTATATTTTGCAGTTTACATGATATTCTCCAACGGACTCAAGGTGGCGCACACAAATTTCTTCACCATCTATTTTATTCTCTAAACAGTCCTGTGAAGATTATCAAGATGAGAGAGTGTGACAGGCCCAAGGTCAGCCAACAACATTTAATGGTTCAGTGGGAATTTGAAGCTTGCTCTCTCAAGTCCTAATCCAGTGCTTAAACCAGCATATCATATAGGTTTATTTCACTGATCTCAATGGGTCTACTCTACCACAGTATTTAAAGACCCCACAGGTTTGTACTTAACACATATACATTGTGTTGATATTGGGAAAACTATTCACAGGCCCGCTCAACAGGCACAGGAATACGGTTGCTGAACCAAAAAGGGCATGAAAGACCCTATTGGAGTCACCTGTAAGAATGGGATAAGAAATCTTTGCTTGTAACCAAGTAATAACATTGATTCTAACATTTGGTCTAATAAAGCTCCACCATAAACACAAATATGACTGATCACTGCCCAAACACCTGCACTTTGGTCAATACTAGGGAGGCACTGACTCACAAATAACTGCATGTTATTTGGTGTGCATGAATTATGGACCAGCGGAGAGACCTACGGTGCTATATAAGCAAAATTGCTCAATTAAATCTCAAGATGGTTTGAGAAATCTTGCTCCACTATAATCAGCCCAGTGGCATTCCCACCAAACTAGCAGTTTCAAAAATGTACGTCTCTACACTTACCTGGCACTTCTGACGCAAATGCCGCAAATCTTTGATGATTGGAGCGAGGCTTGACTTCTTATCAGCCACCATCGCATTTAACTTTTTCACCTGTTTGATGAGAAGAAAAGGCTGTCTGAATGTGCTATTAATAGAGCAACAGGAAAACCTGAAAGGAAGGCCAGCAATGCAAATGGAGGGTAAAGAAGAGTAAAACCAAGTCAGATGTGGTGGATAGAGAAAGGGCTTTATAGCCAGGGTGGACCACGGAAACACCACCGTACCCATAGTCCTGTGGGTCTGCCAAAACACATCCTGCGAGCTAATAACAGCGGCTGCCTGTGGGAGGAATATTAAAATAGATCATCACAGCCCCAACCCCTTGAGTATTCATATGCTGGAAAATGAAAATCACCATTTCAGACATGTTGTCCAGAGTTCGACCTTTCACTTCATCCATTTCGCTTTTTACTGCGGATACTCTCTCCAGCTCCTCCTGTGTATAGCTGTATCCAGAGATACCTTTCTTGTCTTCAATTGCTTGCTGGTAAAACAGGAGGAAAAACCGACATCATTATTGATGCCCTCCAAGCGTTTTGGACTACAACCCTCTCCATCCTTGCCCAGGCTGACTTTGTAGCTCAGAATATCTTGAAGAGAAGATGGTAGTGTGGGTGCAGATTTATTTATTATTTATTTAAAACATTTCTATGCCGCCTTTCTCAAGGTGGCTTACAACTGGCACAATTTGATGCCACAATGGTCATAAAACACAATTAAAAACATTTAGCACACATTATAAAAACCATGTAAAGATCATTAAAAACATATAATCACCACTTCCTATTCGCTCATTTCCCAAAAACATTGTTTAAGCCATTCCATGTTCATTCTTTCCTAGGTTCCATATTCATCCATTACGCTGCATTTCCAAAGGCTTGTTTAAAGAGCCAGGTTTTTATTTTTTTCGGAATGTCATTAGGGAGCAGGTCAATCTAATATCCCTAGGGAGGGAGTTCCATAGCCGAGGAGCCACCACTGAGAAGGCCCTGTCTCTCGTCCCCACCAGGCGTGCCTGCGACAAAGGCAGGATTGAGAGCAGGGCCTCCACAGAAGATCTTAAATTCCTAGCTAGGACATATGGCAGATAACCAGACTAGTAAACCATCAGTGAAATTAAGATTTGTTGTTTTGACTGTGCTCTGCATGACAATTTTTAATCACAGCTATATCTGGGCTGGTATCGTATGCATTATTCCCAAATAGAGTAGACCTAGTCCATCAATTGTTGGAATGGTGACTCCACAAATAGGTAAATCACACTGATTCAATGACTCTGCTCTCATCACAATTAACTACGGAAGTTAGAACCTGGTATGCCATGATATCTCTCCTTAACAGGGAAATGGTTTTACAGCAATTTCTACAGTTTTCAGAGGAACAAGCTGCATCTGCTTTTTGTGTCCATGACTTTGAAGGTCTCCAGGATGGAGTAATTCTGAGTCTACTGCTGATATTTATTTACTTATTCTGTATGTGAAAGACAAATGTTTGATCAAGCACATAGAGCTGAATCATATGCTAATCTTACTGTCTCACCTGCTGCCTGTTCTGCTTTGTTTTGGAAGAAATAATGTGTTCTTTAAAGATAATCTTGGGGCGGGAGGGGGTGGGTTAGAATGAAGCACACACTTGAATACTTCCACATTTTGCCACAATTTCCCGTCTATCATTGATAAAAATGTAAACAGCTTTTGGAAAAAAGTACATCTGTAAGGAAAAGTAACTCTCTGACAAAGCAAGTGATAAGAGAGAGACATGAGGCCATGGAAGACGATAGCAAGGAAAGAGCACTCAGGCAGCCCAGATGGCTGTAATGCTGTTCTCCATGTGTGGGGGAACCAGCCTGAATTATAAGCAAGAAGATAGATTTTCAGCTTCTCAATAACTACATGCTACAACTGACTATCATGACATGCCCCTTCTTTTAAGTTCAGAATAGAATAAATATTGTATGACATCTAATCCAGAACCGCAATGAAAACAAAGGCTTCACTTCCGCTTCATCATTTAAAGTATATTCCCATCATTCAGTTTGCCCAAGAGAGGATGGCTGGTCTGCTCTCCCAACACCCCCCCCCCCACCTTGTTTCCAATGGTACATTTGGAACTGTATCCCAGATCATCTGAGGTTATTTATTTAACTTTCTCCAAACCCTCAATGTTTTCCAGAAAGCTTTCAACTTAACTTCCTTGTTTCCATGTCCTTCTGCAAGTAACCAAGAATTAAGCACACAAAAGAAACACCTACACATATCACGCCCTTATTGATCCCAACTTCTACAATCTACAGGTTCTCCCTTGCTTTCATGCTAAATTTGAGACTGTAATCATCTAGGAGCATAGACCTGTCCTCCTGTACTCCGTAAAAAACCACAGACTGACAGTGGTATATCACACAGAACAAGCACTCTTACTACTAGTTAAGGCTGAGCCAGCAGGAAGAGTTTTAAGGCAGAAGTTTCACCCTAGCTATGTGCCATTTCATCGAATGGGGAGGGGAGGTTTGGCCCATTACCAACTGCTGCTGAATATCTTCATGGCGCTGTTTTAGGAGCTCTTCTGTTCTCTGCAGGATGCCAAACTCCGCTGTAATTTCTGCTATTTCCAGGCGCTTCTTTTTGAAAAGTGTATTTTTGCTCCGCAACTTATTAACATAGCGCTTAAACTGAAAGGAGAGATAAGAGAGACATTTGGAAAGCAAAGATGTAACATCCAGCACCCACTACTTTCAAAGGACACACATAAACACACACACACAAACTATATTTTGAACTTTCATCTGAGCCAAGTATTTCTCTCAGTTGTTCTGTAAATGCCAATACAAAGGTAGCTTTACTTTTAAAAAAACACATAAAACTACATTTTAAAAATAGGTCTGTGATATGCATAACCCCTCCGAGTATAAAACATTGTGTCCCTTTTTGAAAAGACGAGATGACGGCAGCAGGAGAGCTCTCCAGAGTAACTGTATGTTCTATAAAAAGTGTCCCAGGCAAACAGCCCATATGAAATCAACTCAGCTCACCTGCCCTTCCATGAGGTATCAAGGCTAAGGCTTTGTCTGCCTTTCTGTGGCTCCTATGACTACATTTAAAGCAGGGGTTCCCAACCTTTAAAGCAGTGGTTCCCAACCTTTTTTTGACCAGGGACCACTCTCCAACATTAGTACCCAAAAGAGTAACGAAACAGTTTTTGGTCAACGTTTAGATTCGGTTCGGTTATTTGGGGTGCTGATTCAGAAAATTGTGCTGAACAGACTACAACAGCTCTAGTTTCTGATACAGAACATATGCCATATTTATTTATTTATTTATTTATTTATTTGGAGCATTTATTAACCGCCATTCTCAGCCCACTCGGGCGACTCACGGCGGTGTACAGTACAAAAGGCAATTCACACAAAGACAAGTACAACAGCATATTAACCATACAACAATACAACAGTTAAAATTACACTAACTAATCCGCTTCGTCTCGTAATAGAATCGTGACCAATCTCGTATTCCTTGTACCATTCCAGTCGTCTTTACCACATTACTATAGCACTTAATTAAATGCCCTCTCGAACAGCCACGTCTTGAGGCTTTTTCGGAAGGACAAAAGAGAGGGTGCCTGCCTGATGTCTGTAGGGAGAGTGTTCCACAACCGGGGGGCCACCACTGAGAAGGCCCTCTCTCTCGTCCCCGCCAGGCGTGCCTGTGAGGCAGGCGGGATCGAGAGAAGGGCCTCCCCAGACGATCTCAAGGTCCTCGTGGGCTCATAGGCCAAGATGCGGTCTGAAAGGTATTTTGGGCCGGAGCCGTTCAGGGCTTTGTAGGCCAACACCAGCACCTTAAATTGGGCCCGGTAGCAAATCGGCAGCCAGTGGAGCTGGGACAACAAGGGTGTTGTGTGCTCCCTGTATCCCGCTCCAGTTAGTAACATGGCTGCCGCACGCTGAACCAGCTGAAGCTTCCGGGCCGTTTTCAAGGGCAGCCCCACGTAGAGAGCGTTGCAGTAGTCAAGCCGGGATGTGACCAGAGCGTGTACCACCGTGGCCAAGTCAGACTTCCCGAGATACGGGCGCAGCTGGCGCACGAGCCGAAGCTGTGCAAATGCTCCCCTGGTCACCGCTGAAACCTGGGGATCCAGGTTGCCATCTGCTCACCCACAGAAAAACGTATTTAATAAGCCTCTGCACTATAAGAGGGTTTCATGAGACCAGTCGCTCTTATTGCAACAGTGTAGTAACGGTGAGGCCACAGACCAAATTTTAGTTCTTGTGGACCACTGGTGGTCTATGGACCACAGGTTGGGAACCACTGATTTAAAGCCAAAGTAGGACATCATTTTAATGAAATCCGTGTTATTACTCAAAGTGTTCTTTATACAGGTGACCAGCATCTTGAAGAACAACTTTTCCTGTTGTGCACAATTCTCAGACAAGGTCAGGAAAGGTTACAGCAGCTACACAACATAACAATGCAGTTGTCTGCAAATGTACTTTCCAAGATTTGGCAGAGCCCAGAAATAAGTATCTGATTGGCTTGGCACATTATTAACTTGTTGGATCTTTTAGAGCTTTGGCATGACTATCTTGATGTCCTGATGGATGCTGGAGGCAAGACTATTCGTTAACAAGATAAAATGTTAATACATTAGAATTTGTTACAGTGAGTGGCTCTTCCTTTGGGAGATTCAGTAAGACAAGAAGGGCCTAAGGAGAAAAAGGATTTGAACCAAATGGATCACATGGCTTTGTTGCTAGGCAGCCAGGCCCAGAAAAATAATAGCAGGGGAGCAACTGAAGACCTTGAATTAAGAAGCAATTGATGGCAAATATTCAGGGTGGGGATGTGGGGGAGTCATACTATGGTATGAGGGAATAATTTGTTTGGGTAGACCTTACCAAGTCAAGGCCTATAAGGCTGTGAGTATACATATACATATACATCTACTAGCGTGTCTTTCTCAGAAGTGGTGTCGTGACTCTCTTAAGTTCTCTGATATTTTTTCTTTATTTCTATTCTATTGTATAATATATTATTATCTAACATTATGCCACCCTGAGTCGCCTTCAGGCTGAAAAGGGAGGGAAAAAAGCGTGGTAAAATAAACATTATACAATAATTAATATACAATAATATGTATATTGCATTCAATTGCGGTGTGTCAGTTACCCTACTGGAGCCCCATGTGGTGCAACGGGTTAAACCCTTGTGCTGGCAGGACTGCTGGCCAACAGGTCAGCAGTTCGAATCTGGGGAGAGTGGGTTGAGCTCCCTCTGTCAGCTCCAGCTCCCCATGCTGGGGCATGAGAGAAGCCTCCAACAAGGATGGTAAAACATCAAACATCCTGGCATCCCCTGGGCAACATCCTTGCAGACGGCCAATTCTCTCACACTAGAAGCAACTTGCAGTTTCTCAAGTCGCTCCTGACATGAAAAAATGCCATACTCTATATTATTTGAAATAAGCTACATGATATACCATTGTTTACTGTTGCTCACATAGTACTATTTTGATCATTCTATTTTTTTCTTTAACCCCATTAACATTTCTTTCCCCTTTTGGTCATCTGTGTCCTTCCACAAAAACACTGATTAAACTATTACAAATAGATAGGTTCCAATCTAGGCAGCCCTTTTCACATTTACTAACCAGTCAGTAGAGACTTCCAATGACTGGGGGATGGCATAGTATTATTATTATTATTATTATTATTATTCCAAAACATAGACAGAGCAAAGGCCAACCCCTCTGTCAAGCAAATAGCTCACTTAACATAGCGAGCCAATTTTATGTGAAGCATCGACTCTGGAAATTCTGGTACTGGCTTGTTCAGGAGCACGTTTTAGCAGAATAGCAAGTCATTTCACGATTGACTGTTCCAGCATGAAAGAGTATTTGATTTTACATCATTCGATGGAGAAATATAGTGCCAGGCCACATGGGACCCTCGATGCTGCCTTTGTTGGTTTTAAATAAGCATTTTATAATGTTCCTCAGGAAAGACTCCAGGCAAAACTGAAGGCTTCAGATTATACATACTTATCTGTAAACTGCATAAAGAGAACTTCATGAGAGTAAGACATAGTCCATAGGGACAACTGTCAACCTTATGCCAGTCAAGAGAGGAATAAAGGTGGATGGAAGAATAATCTCCAGTAGTGCTTCTTTGAACTCCAGAGACAGAATCCACTTGAATTCTAACTAAAACATTTGACAACAAACATGAAAAAAACAACCAAAAATCCAATGGTCCAGAGACTGGAAATGCTCAATATATGTTGAAGTCACCAAGAAACAGGACAGTAGGAATTGTAGTAACCACTGCAAATAAAAGGATGATCACACTTTTACAACAAAGATTTTGACCATATTTGGAGCAAAAAAGGCCAGATGTCCAAGCTGGGTTCAGACAAGGAAGAGGTACTAGATATCATATTGTAAGCATAATGGAATGAACCAAAGAATTTCAGAAGAGACTCAGTCTGTGCTTTATAGATTATAGCAAAGCCTTTGATTGTACAGATCATGAAAACAAGAGGGTGGCTCTAAAGGAAATGGGTGTGCTTTCAAGCTCTTATTGTTCTGATAAATAACTTGCACTCTGGACTAAAAAAACAAAATAAGGGGAAACAGAATGGTTTCCGATTGGCAAGGGGGGTCAGGCCAGACTGCCCTTTATCACCTCATCTGTTTAATTTATACACAAAATACAGTTGTATGGAAAGCTGGATTAGACTCAGAGTGAGGAAGCATGAATATTGGAGGAAGGAACACAAACCATTTAAGATATACAGATAACACCACACTACTAGCAGAAAATAGAACAAACTTGGCATCACTGTTGAAGAAAGTCAAGAAAGAAAGTGCAAAAGCAGGATTACAGCTGAATACTAAGAAAGCAAAAATAACACCCACAGATGATTTATGTAACTTTAAAGTAGATAATTACAACACTGAACATCAAACTACTGTATATATATATACTGTATATATATGTATAAGTCAGCCTCGTGTTTAAGTCAGGGGCAGGTTTGGGGGACCAAATTGTAGATTTTAATATGGCCTGTCAGGCTTCAGCCCCCCCCCCCCCAAATTCTCAGGGTGGTCTGCGAGAAGGCCTTACTGGTACATTATTTAAACTGTTATGTTTATTCATATCATGATCTGATCATTATGCTCAATATATCCCATATGCATGGGGGTATTGGAATAACAATACAAAAGGTTTGCTAGGGTACACTCTCTCTTACTCAGACTCAGCCCCCGCCGAATCAAACTCAGCCCCCCCCCCCTCGAATCAAAATCCTGGCTATGGGCCTGTGGCCTGTGTATAAATAAAGGAATAAGTGTAGACAGATAATATATTGTATTGTCGAAGGCTTTCATGGCTGGAATCACTAGGTTCTTGTGGGTTTTTTCGGGCTATAGAGCCATGTTCTAGAGGCATTTCTCCTGACGTTTCGCCTGCATCTATGGCAAGCATCCTCAGAGGTAGTGAGGTCTGTTGGAACTAGGAAAATGGGTTTATATATCTGTGGAATGGCTGGGGTGGGGCAAGGAGCTCTTCCCTGCTGCAGCTAGGTGTGAATGTTTCAACTGATCACCTTCATTAGCATTTGAAGGCCTGCCTGAGCCTGGGAAAATCTCTTGCTGGGAGGTGTTAATCTGTGCCTG